TCATTTGATACGATTATTGTAGCGTATTTGTTCGCATAAGAGTAATATTTGAAGACTGATAAACCGGAGAATTAGTATATTATATCAACATAAAAGAACTTATTATCTTGGGTCAATAAAAGGTGTACATAATCTGAAAAGCGAGAAATAAGACACATCAACGACGATTTTGTTCATAAATAAACAAGGAAACACTTTATCAGTAGTATAAATTTTTGAATTGCTATTTGCTCAGGTTTCGTTTTGTCAACACACAAACAAAAAGGTATCACCTTTACAGCACGGACATTATTTTTCTAACAGTCTACACAATTGAGAGTTGTTTTCTGAAATAAACCGATAGAGATATGGTAGGTATGCTGAACTTCTCGAATATGGGTTTATTGCGTGGAGCATTAACACCGTTTTAGTTTTAAAGAAATACGTGGGGTGATTGCACAAAATATACAGGGTGACTGAGCCAGAAAAACTTTATTTATCTTCCTGTAATTTAATTTTTAATTATTGGATTTAAATCAAAATATTTCATATAGAACGAGATGTCGTCAAATCGTCCTCATATATTTTGCTCAGTGATTTCGGTTTTGAGTGGAAACCTGAAATTTTATTTCATTATTTCTTCTTTTACTTTCATGTTTCTTATAAGCTTTTTTGTACCACAACGGATAGTTTTACTGACTACTATCACTTCGATAATAGAAGCTATGTTTTCGATACGTTTTAATTCTTGCTCATTATTATTATTATTTATTATTTCAATAATGCACGATAAAAAAGACAACTCCTAGTTTAACGAATGTCTTTTGTTGTCAACTACCGTGAAAGATTTTATATTAAATAATCTACGGAAATAAACTAAGTATTTTAAAAAATATTACTTTTATTTGCATTTTCCTGATCTTTAATTTCTATGAATCGAAATAGTTTCAAATTAGCCAATAGGAAGTTGATCTGCGAAAAACTGTTACATATTTCGTCATGTACGTGATTTGACTTCTGGTCTTTTCGAATAAATGAACCGCAAATAATAATCAGAAGAATTTTTTATTTTTTATGAATTCGTTACTTGGTCTCCGCGAGTAACGAGTACTGGGATAATAAACCAGTCAGATTAGATTTTAAAAGGTCTGTTTTGAGCACTAAATAGATTAAGGTAAAATATCATCATCAAGTTGTTCGGAAGGATGTCAGAATATTAGGACATTAGTTTGAGCGCGATTTCCGGCTATGAAACATTGTTTAAGTAATTAAAGAGAGTGCGAAAAACCGTTTTTTGCGCATAACTTTTGAACCGTTGATGCTATTATATGCTATTAAAAATACCTACAATATAAGACAAACTAAATTAAAATCCGTGCATCTGTTTACTCAAAACCACTGATTTAAGCTTTTTTTTTTAATTTTCTATAATTAATTTAGTTTTGCTTCAAAAAAATAGAACTATAACTTTTTTGAGGCCTTTCTACACTTTATAAGTGGTATAACTTTTAAGCTAAAATTTAATTAATTATGGAAAATTTTAAAAACCATACAATCGGCGGTTTTTTTAAATCCTTCCAAACAACTTCGAATAATCTTTTACCTTCACCTATTTAGTACCTGGAAAAAAATCTAATCCGACTGGACCATAAGGAATAGTTACGTTTTCAACATTTTTACAGCCAATTGTAGGTACAGCCAATTGTATTGTGGTTCTGTTTCATAGTTCGTCATTGGTGACGATTTTTATGTTAAGGAAATCGTTTTACCTGTGCGAAGGTAAAAACAAAATATTATTTCAGAAATAGTCGACCTCTTTGTGCAGTGTAGGTCAGTAGAATTAAGGCATGTTTTCTTTATTTTGAAAATATTCCAAGTTTCATAGGCTACGTAGCGACTTAGATTGGCTAAAAAAAGTTAAGTGAGCAACTACGGAACCAATAAATCTACGTGTCATCAGATTTCTAAATACGATCATCGCTATTTTGTTAAACGACCACCACAAATTGCAATTTGTTTCAAGATTTCTTGCACTTTATTTGTATTTTCAATGAAAAACCCTATTTTTTATTAAGGAAATCCTACGTAATGCTAGGGCCAGTAAAATTTCCCAGCATCCTTTTGAGTGGTGCCATTCCCATAAGTATTTGGCAATGCGCGGCGCATCGCGACTCTCATCTCAATAAACAGAGATTTAAAATGATTCACTACAAAGCAGGTCGTCTGTTTTACAAAAGATAACAGCTCGCGCTTCAGAATGGGGCTTTATGCATCCCATTATGGGGACTTACTGAGCGGATTAGACGGGGCATATTAATAAAGTCATAATGCTGTGTTATGGGGACGGCGCGATCTAAATACTTTATGTGCCCGAAGGATTAGGACTGTAAACAATGCATTTGATTTATTGTGCATACATTATCTTTCAACAAATATATAAGTCGTTTGGGTGCATCGTTTGGCGCCACTTACTATTTGCCCCAAAACCCATTTCTCCACATTTGCGTTATCGCATTACTTTTTTATCGCAGGAACAGTGCATGCCATTCAATAGCTAGCT